TACCCTTTTACAAATGTCTAAGTCAGGAAAGAATTACTGTAACTGGGGAGGAAAATAAAAAGAGTTTTCATGGAAGCAGAAAGCTCTCATTAACTTTCATGGGACTCTGGTGACCCTTTGAACAGGAACACGCCTGTAAAAATATGGACTCTGTTCTATTTATCATTTGTCTATAATTCCACCCTCTAGATGATGCAGTTTCAGTGCGTATTAGATTTGCACATTGCTTTTAAATGATGCAGCTGTTCCATGGTTTCTTTGGGATATATGTGCTGGATTTTTCAGACTGTAGGTTATTTAGCACTGCATCTTGTAGCATCCTAAAAATACTTGGTTTAGGTCCATCCAATTGTATTTGAGCTGCTTGCATGTTAATATTTTACAGAGCTCCTCTCTGGCTCGTAACATATAGCAGTACTGACTGAAATCATGAATGAGCACAGGAGTTTGGGAATACTGCCATGGGTGCGGCTGTGTAAAAAAAAAACAAGATTCAATGAATGGTCATGCTTACTTTCAGAAAAAGAGAAGATTACTACCACTTTTCCAAGCTTGTCATAAAGGGAGCAATAGATTCATCCGGGGAAAAAAGGTCATTACTTTAACAGCAACTTTTTAATAGTTTAAAATGTTAAAAGTTCTTGGCAATTTAGAATAGGAATTCAAAATAAAAGTTCCATTTCAGGCTGTTGTAATATTGTCATGTAGATGTGCTTGCTGCAAGCCAAAGAAACATTGGGGTCTTTTAATATATGTCTTATCTTGCTTGGGGGCATCGTCTTGTCCCAGGTGGTGGCTAGGAGAGCAGACCTCTAACAGCACCCCCTGCTAAAGCTTTCTGCTATTTGGGGTCATGGGTGTGGGGATATTCCAGTGGTGGAGAAGCCAGTGGGAGTTGAGGAGAGAGGCTGGGGAGATGAAGAGGGTGTATCAGAGCTGAGTGGCTCTCACATCCCCGTTTTGCCCTGCTGAAGCGACCTGGGTGGCCCCAAGTGTCTCTGGAACACGCTGGTGAGGCTTCCCAGCCTGGCCACAACGTCTGGGTATGTAAGTGGGGGGAGGAGATGAGAAATTTGAGGCTGGCCTGATGCTGATGTTGCAGGCACCCAGCCCTCTGCTTCTTCTGGCGCAGAGTGTTGCCCTCCCCTTTGGCACGGTGATGTCCCTTCTCGTGCCATCTGCCAGCAGCGCTGTTCATCTGGCCTTGGGGTGTTGGTCCTTGGGTGGCGTGGACCTGGGCTACCATGGCTACCCCTCCTTTACTTTGGCAGTAGAGTCCTTCAGCAAAGGTGCTGTAATCTCCTTGGCAGAAACAGCTCAGCATGACCCCTCAGGGCACCCCTGTGGTGCTCTCTTGCTCTCCTCTCCCTCTTCCCCTAGTTGCCCTGTCTTTGCATGCCATGCTTACCTTCCCTTGCTGCTCCTTGAGCCCATCGTCCTCCTTCCTCACCAAAAATCCCATGGCCTGTCCTACTCCAAGCCCCAACTTTCCACAAGGTGCCCTGTGCCCCCTCGGGCGCTCGGGCCTGTATCCATGAAGCGGGCACGCTTCCCTCCCCCAGGGCTCCCAGTGTTACCCAGGGACTGGCTGCGTTGTGCCTGTGCAGGGTGCCCGACCCACGGGCTGCCCTCGGCTGTCCACGGCCCTCCCTGCGCTTGGCCAGGAGCCGCACTGGCAGCCGGGAGTGATTCAGGTGCTGCGCAGCAAAGCCCAACACTGGGCTTAGGCTGCCGCTAGAGACCTCTCCTGACTACAGCTTGTTGATGGCACTTGGTTTAACAATGTAAATTTGTTTTAAAGCAACAACAGTTACTTGCTTGGTCCTTAAAAATGGGTACCTGGTCAGTATAGGGCACTGATTTAAAAATTAATAGCTGGGATTTTTTTAATGTAAGTAAAGTCTGCTAATATAGTCCCTTTACTAATCTGCTGAATTTTCAAACCCGTCATGAAACTTTCCTTTTACTGTCCATTTTTGCACTACATGGGCAGTATAAAGGATATGGTAGGGACTTTGAAAGCTCTGCCAAAAAACTTGGTGATTAGAAGCTGAGAATTGATAACTGTGGTGGTTATGAGAAAGGGGAAGATTCTGAGGAGAGATTAGAGAGAATAAATTCAAATCACACTAAAAAGAAAGTGTAGATTACCTGTCACTATAGTGGATTTCTGGAAAGCAGTTTTCAGCTCCAGATATCTTCACTGCCTTTTCCTCTTTCCAACCTAACCTCCTCAAATAAGATTGCTTCTGTTTAGTCTGTGTCAATTTGAATTTTGACGGGATCTAAACTACGTGAGAACTGAAAAGCATGCCTCCTACGTGGACATCAATTTCCTTCAATTTATTGTTGACAGCCTCTTATGTGACTTGTTCCTTTTAGGCCAATTTAGTAATTTCTGTTCAAAAGATGAGAAACAACCAAGGACTGTCTGAACCAGCCAGAAAACTCCTGTCAGGGAACTAAATAAAAGTAAAGGATGAACTTGATTTGAAATTTATAGTAAACTCAGAATTATCCTGCAAAAAAATAAGTTAAATTGTTTATATTAATGATCTTCTAAATTAAATACGTCAGATTTAGTACTTTGAAGTGATTTTTTTCTTTCTTTAATCTCCCTAACTCTCATAAGGAGACTAGATAATATCCCATTTATTGCAACATCAGGCATAGTTGAAATACATGATACAGTTTCTCTCTGCAAAGTATAAAAGTGCATTTAAAATAATTTTAAAACTGATAGCATAACCAAAAAAACCCAATTTTATTTATATTCCTCTGGCTATTTCAGTGAGAAACAGATGGCTTTAAAGCACTACTTTCGCATGCAGCATCCTACAACTTAAATGGCAAGAATTTTACATCCTGACTCCCTAACTGGGGCTACATCGTGTTCTCCTCAAGGCTCCCTGTGCTGCTTTATTCAGCAGAAGGATTCCTCTCCAGAAATCTGTCTTCAGTTGTTACATTAGGGAACTAAAGTGTACAGTAGCTTGTGTACAGAGATACCTTACATGAACTGTAGACCTTTAATTCCTTCTTTTGGGTAGCGAATGAAACCTTGCGTATGCCCAAGGTGACATTATGGAACTATAGGGAATATATTTTTTCTAAGCAGAGATGGAAGTCTCTCTGAGTAGGAAAACAGTATTGTACATAGCAACATATTTTTTTTATGAAATCGTAATATTAAGACCCAAAGCTTGGACTTACAGAGACTTGGTTTAGATACTGTTGAAACAAAATGGAGAATTCACCAAGATGTGGGAACGGAGCTGAAGTTGATTACGTTCATGTTTCATTTTATTCAAAGTATAATAGCCATACACCTAGTACATTGGACTGAAACTAAAGAGTTCCAGCATGCTTGGAAGTCTTCTGTGGAAGCTGGAAAATATTCCATAAAAATGCATGTTGTCACACCCTGTTTCTTTGTTTACAATAATATTATTGTAGAAGTGCATCCTGGATGTAATGAATTTTGCTGTGGTGAAAACAGGACAGGTAGGTTCACACTAACTGAGGAAGAGTGGTGAGGTTTGAACCATGTCTGTGATTCACGGTTGTTGGTAAGCATTAGTGTTGGCTTAAGTGACATGCTCATATGGGACTATCAGTTTAAAATAAGTGATATTAAGCAAACAAAGTGGGTTTTGTTCTAATAGGGAATAAGGTAAAAATAAGTAGCAGCAACCTACGTGTTATTACTTAAACATAAGTACCAAATATATATTTGTGTCATTGCACCATGATAAGGAAAGTCTGCATTCTCTTTGTTCACATTGCCTCTTTGATTTTTTTTCAAATATATTGACATGATATAAAGTAACCTTCTTACAGTGATGTTACCTTATCACTTCAGAGTTTTAGATGTTTTATTCAGTAAGAATATCAGTTCTCAGTTGGATAATTTTCTTCTTAATATTGTTCTTCTACAAGTTGCGAAAGCAAGAAAATATTTGTAACTAAGATCCTTTAAACATCAGGAAAATTTACATATTTTTTTTAGGGAGGGAGAGAGAGAAAGGTAGAAAAGGTGTCAAGTTTACAGAAATAATCACTTTCTAAGTCTACAGGCCAAGATTTTCAAGGGATGTATGATTCTGTGTATTGCTACTCTAGGTGCCAAACTTGAAAATGCAGGGATTTAATATCTTAAAGCATTTCAAGAGAGATACCTAAAATCAGGCATTATTTAGACTGAAAACCATTGTAATGAGTTGTACTGTTTTAATATTTGAAGTACTTTTTTCAAAAACGCAAAGTAAATTATTCAGAAAGTTCTATCCTGTGTTTATAAATAAAGACTTGTTGCTTTCCATGTTAGTCAAGTTCTTAATTTTAGAATATTTCAAAATGCTGTAATTCAGTTAGGAAAATTTTACTTTGGGCTAATACTCAAGTAGTGGCTAGACTACATTTCTGTCGTTAATTTACTGTATTTGTTTCTGAAATCATCATGAAAGAAGTACTCTTTAAAAAAAAGGCCTTGTGATTCTGATTTTATTTTTATAGCGGTGTGAAGAGTAGAAGATTTTCCTGAACTGGTTTGTGCTTGCATAAGCTGCTAGGAGTAGAAGCAGTATGACTATATGTGGTTAGTGGACTTTAAATAGTAGCCATGAAGTATAAAGTGCTCAGTTTTGAATTGAATTGTTGGGGCAGAAGCCAGGGCTTTTTAACCTTCTAGTCTCTAAAGTCTATGTACCAGAGCTAATTTTGAAAACACTTTGAGATTTAATTGTGCATTTACAGTGGAGTAACAGTAGTTTATTAATTCTAAAACCTGAAATGATGCATATCCATCTTAATGCATTACAATAATTATTTTAGTTGACGTGATTTTTATGCAGTAATTTATTTTTGACATTTCTAGAGTTAATCTCCTATTATATATATACACTCCTATTATGTTATTTTACTAATCTTATTTAAAAAGGGAACATTACATATTGAATACTGTACCTCAATTTTATTGTAATGATTTTACTGGTTACCAGGTGGGGTGGCAGTTGAAAAATTTGGTGAATGCACTACGAGAGGATCCGAGTGGTGTTATCTTAACTTTGAAAAAGCGACCTCAGAGCATGCTTACCTCAGCACCAGCTTTACTGAAAAATATGAGATGGAAGCCCCTTGCTCTGCAGGTAATGAAGCTTAATCATAAGTCATACACCATCATTTTAACTATAGATTATCTCTCAATGATGCTTTATTGTGCTTCATCTCAGCAGCATATGGATTTACTCTTGTATACTTTGAAAAATTGTTTCTGAAATTATTTCTCTGCAGTTTGTTCTCATAGGCTCAATTGAAATTAAATCTGTTATTAGAACTTTTCAAAATTAAGAAGTAATCATCCCAGTGTTTTTTTTACAATGCAGAAAAATAGCCCCAGATAATAAACAAGCATACTTCCAAAACTGATAAATTTTAGTTTGACTTCTTGTTAAGCTCTCAGTGAATATAACCTCAAAGAAAGAGAGGAGGAATAGATCTTGAGTTCTCAATTTGATCAATCATGGAGTTATTGGAAGATTTATAAGGTGATTTTATTCAATAAACCACTTGACCATCAAAATTTGCTCATGTAAATAAAGTTGTATTCATGTCCAATTTGTCCTTGAGATTGAACCCTTGCACATAAGGAAGTGTTGTGCAGGATGTCCAGCTGGGCCTTTAATTTTATTAAGGCTGCAATGTGCTGAAAACCATGGAATGGTTTCATTAAAGCTTTCATGTTTCACTCTAGGATAAAATGCCACTGTGATTGATTACTCTAGGAAATAAAAGTTATGTCCTGACTAATGAAAGCATGTAACCAGCAGATGGAACTGACAAATAATCCCTTTTTTCATTCAGTTCAGATAGAACAATATTTAGAAATTTATTTTCTTTGCATAAAGAATCCATTCTTCAGGACATTTTTATTATCACAATAAAAAGCCTAATTTAAAATTAAGTACATTTGAGAGAGAAAAGACTTCTGCAAAGTTCGGGCAAAAGGAAAATGAGATATGGAAATGCCACTGCAGTAGCTGTGGGTTTTGCCATTTAAAATAATAAGAGATTCATAAAAAGAACTAATGCCATGAAAAACTTGTTTCAAATATGTGTGTATATATATATAAATTATTTTATAATGGTTAAATGCACCATTGTCTTTGAAACTCAGAACGTTTTTAAGTGATTGAGATGTCTTGGTCTTTCAGATATAAAGTACTGACTAGATATGTGACAAAAAACTTTCAACCAAAAATATCTTACTAGCGTCTGAGCATAAAATTACAAATCTCTATGCATGATATGAGCATATGAATGTCCATACTTGAAGGCTGCACTTTTATCATAGCTTTAGTGAGAATATAAACACAAATGAAAAATGCACATCATTGCTTTAAATGGGGTCAAATGCTTTCAGTCTAAATCCTCTTTGAGTGAGTTTGGTATTTCTTTGGGTGAATTGGGTCATTCTCCTAAATGCTTCTTTTTGCTTCACTTTCTAATTTGCCACTAGAATAATTACACTGAAGACCCCACAACACAAGTTTTTGACGTAGGCCATTGATGCAGACAATAGCACATAAGCAATTAATTCAAGACAGGCTACAAACCAATTTCCACCATTTAAACTAAGTCCATTAGGAAAGCGAGGATTTTTGTGGTCCTTTTACAGTGAATGCAGTCATCAACTAAAGTTGTGCACCTGTTTGAAACTCCACACTCACTTCTAGCAGCAAAAATCCAATCATCTTTTAGTGTGTTTTATCTGGCTCTGATTTACATCTCAGCATCCTTAGTTCGATACAGATACTAGGGAGTTATTCAATTGCTCTAACTTTAGATATCTGCTATGTATATATCTATGTATCATTCAGGTTTCCCATTTTTACTCCCTTTGGCCAGCAGACATATGTAACTGCTTCATTCATCTTGGCCTATTTTAGAGTGATCTGCCTTAGGATGAGCTGAATTGGACCCTGTGCATGGCTCTTTCTCTCCATTTGATGGTAAAGGGAGTCTGGACAGCTAGCTTGAATGTAGATTATCTGTATTAGATAAGATGAGACTGACCCTAGATAGCGGTTTTCTGTAATCTTACAGATTTGGAGAGGGGGGTAATGGGAGTATTGGTTTTGGTGTGGTTTGGGGTTTTTTTTGCTGACAGCATAGAAAATATGAATATTTTTAAGTCTAATGTGAGTACAAATAGAGATACTGTTAAACATTAGAGATATAATTCTGGTATCATGATGATTTTGTTCTGATTTTATCAAACATGACACCAGGAAAAGGCCAGAACCTCATCCAACACTTATGTGTGAAGTGTGCATATGTGTGTCTGTTGTAATTTGTGAGTTTAGTGTGAGAAACAACAGTTTTCTTAAGTAGATTGAGTGTCGAAAAAGCTCCAGGGCGAAGTGAAGACAAACTTCAGAAGCTGCATAATGTGGAGATTTCTGTTGTTAATTTATGCAGATCAGAGGTGAACAGATGTTAAAGTCAGCTGATGTTAAAGTTTAAAGCCGTGAAGGCAATCAGAGTGCAGTGTAATTGTTTAGCTATTAAAAATATGAAGAAATTATGTTTATTTAACAGAATGTACTTCAAAACTTTCTGAAAAAAAATCTTCAGAAAAGCTGTATGTTTTGTAATCGCAATTTGCCCTATGGCTGTTGTGAAATTTCTTATGTTCCTGATTCATGTAAGGGTGCTATTCTTTAACAGGAGCTTGGGAGGCAGTGTGAGAGGAGAGAGGGGAAGTGATAACAATTCGGAAAAAAAGATAAGGAAAAGCAGTACTTCCATTATCTTTGGAAGCGGGGGAAATGATGATAACTTGTTTACCTATATCAGGATGTCATGAAATAATTGAGAATTTTATAACTGTCCTGTCATCCCAGAGCTAAGTTAATTGAACCATATGTATTCAACAGACACAAGCTATAAGGAAATTATGACTCAGTAATAATTCTGTTAAAGTACAAAATATGAGCAAAAGATTCAAAAGACTCTAGAGTAAGATATGGGGACGAAATTCTGATAAAATGAGAATTAGGATCTGCAAACTGGCTGCGGTGGGATTTTTTTTGGTTCTGCAAATGGAGTGAACATAAGAAAGATGTGGTGTCACATCCTAATCAAATTGCAATGAGTGAGGTGGGAAGGTGGAAGTTTGCCCTAATGTAAGGAGACTGACACAAAAGCAGAGACTGAGTTTTTGGATGCACCCTACCAATGAGTATGTTTAACAGCTGTTGCAACAAATGTAGAAGGTAAATATTTCAGTGAATTAAATTGAGACACATTTACACTGAGATTTACATTGGGGTGTTTTAATTGAGAACCTTCAAAACTTAATTTCAGCTGAAAGTGAATAATGTTGAGGCATTATTTGTAAGTTGCATTCTGCTTCTGTAGTCAGTAATTGTATGTAAGAACATGAAGTTTGCCATTTGCAGCTACATGAAAAGCTAGACTTAATGGAGAGATACTAAGTATGCCTGTAAGTTGGGAAAGTGCTAGACAAGTCTTCCAGTTCAGGCAGTATGCAGGTACTACCAATGTGTCAAGCAATTTGGTGTTTGAGTGAAAGGGCATCCTGGTAATTAAATTATGCATTCTGATAATGAAATTTTTAAGAGCTTGCTGTCCACTGTTAGTGATCTAGATTAGCCATACGCTAGCCAAATGTTCATGATCTCTGAATGTGGAAAACGCTTTTAGACCATTCAGATATTAACTGGTTACTAGTTGGCATAAATTCTTCTTAGAATGTTCAGCGGCTTACTTTGAACAGCTCTGCCTTCACATCACAGTCTTGCCATGAATTATGAGTGAAATGCAGTCTACATAACGATTGATTAATTCTTTGGGGTTTTTTTCCTCTCAGCAGAAATGTGGTATATTCATTCTATTCACAACTATTCTTATGCTTAGAATAAATATGAAAAGTTCGGGGAAAGAAAGAAGAAGAATAATTATGCATCCTGTGTTGCAGTCCTGAAACTGATATCGAATGGCTTAATGTACAGTAAAATAATACAATTATTCTATGGCTATACTATGCACCATTAGGTAATGAGTTTGTATTTGCAAGTGTATTGATTCCAGCTCAGGTCAATCAGTACAGAAAGAAAAACATCCTTTTTTTTCCCTTGTGTCCTGATTAAAGGAAGTGCTGGTTATTTGTTTTTGTTTTGTTTTCAGTCACTTGATGATTGTCTGTTTTAATATCCATCAGTATCCAACTTCTTGCAGATAATCAAAGTTCTCCCTTGACGCATTCTGGAATCATGTCAGAATTTGTGAATTCAAGGGATTTTTCAGCCTGTGTTTTTTGTTATTGCCTTTATAACATTTGAATTAGGCAGCTGGGGCCTTGGGGAATTTTGTGGTTGCCCTTGCAAATGAAGGTATTTATTAATACGATATTGTACCATAAATATTAAGATGTTATGTCTGCAAGACAAATCTCACTAAATTTGCCTTTCAGGTACTTTTTCTGATACTCTGATCCGTTCTGTGAAAGCCTAGAATGGTATTTCATGTTGCAATGTTTGTATTTCTGACTGCTACTGAATGTGGTGAACAAACCAAATAATTTAACCTTTAATTTCTTTTATTTTTCGTACTTGACGTAGAGGTAACTTAATTATCTTTGAACTCGCCAAATTTTTGTCTGGTTTGAAAACTAACTTAAATAAACATCCTCTACTCTAAATTGTCTGTTTTATTTCTCCTTTCCACTTTGTGTTATTTTGGGAGGTTTCAAAGGGAGTCTCCCCGAAGTGCTGTTTGAACAAGGGTGGTGGAAGGTTCAATAGAGAAGATTCTCGGAGCATATGAAATCTTATGTAAGAAGCTGTCATCGTGCTAGCAAGAAGCTAGCTGCAAAGTCCTCCTTTGCTTTCTGGAAAATGCTTTGTTAATTAGTCAAAAGAAACTGGACTTTGACTACAGTGTGGAAGACTCTTCATCTAGTTTCTTTATAATACAGAAAAGGAGTGGTAGAGCAACGTGTTGCCATGCTTCGGCTAATTTGGACTCACCCTGCCGGTATCAGTGGAAAGGCTCTTCTTACTGATGTCAGTGAGGTTAGGGGCAGGTCCAGCTGCCAGCCACGTCTTGGGTGTTGACTTGGGAA